TAGAAAGTGTTTTTTGATCGAAAGCTGACACCACTAGAGTTGCATATGAGGACTCACCAACATCAAGCTAACCACCAGTGGGTTGATGAGAAGGCAAATAAAACTCATATAAGTATAATTTTTGGAGTAATAAAAAAGAATATAATAAATTTTATAATCTAATTTTTTTTATGAATTTATTTTCACAGGATGATTTTATACAAGTTCGAGAAAGTCATTAGTCTATTAGTGAGGGATCATCTTTAAGATTGATAAGATTGACTGAGTATTCTAAGTATCAAACTTTGTCAGATGTTGTTGGAGGAAGGCATAGGGGGAGGATTTGTGGCTTATGTTCGTAGGGATATGTTTATCAGAACAGTTCATAAACATTAGCATTTTATGATGTTAGTGGAGCTAAAGAAAATGTTAGTAAGAGGGTTATTTCCCTGATGAGAGAGATAGAGGAGATGGGAAAGATTCAAAATAAGATACACACAGAGCTACAATCCTATAAAGATGAAAATTAGAAGAAGAAAGAACAAGAGCCGACACATGAATCACAATGTAGCAAGGACATGGAGGATGACTAATGTTGTTATTTGTTTGATGAACTTTTTGGTGCATTTTGAACATCTTACTTTGGATTTCATATGTTATATTTATTGTAGAACATATGCATTTTACTTTGTTTAAACATTTGTTTCTTCTTATTATGGATTTTGGATTATGCAAATATGATTTATTGATTATGTTTTTCTATTGAATGTTATGTTAATTTTGGACGCCATTTATGTGGGTTGATTATAGTGGTGTGTTTTTCTAAAAGTTTATGTATTATATATGTTTTGAATTCATTGCAAGTATTGTGAAAATTGGTGTAAATAGAGGAGGGCTGTCAATTTTTTTTTGAAAATGCTACAGGTTTTTAGTGGCTAACCAACAATTTGGCAACATGAAACATCGATACCGGACGGCTTATTTTAACCACTGGAATTTTAATATAGTCTATGGTAAATATTGGCGGTCAACCGGTGGCTTGGCAGCCGGCACAACCGACACTTAAGATGGTCAGTAGGCCGTCGGTAATTAATCGGTGGTTGCCAAAGCTATGATAACCAGAATTTACAAGCTGTATGGCCGCCAGAAAGCCGCCGAAAACTGACCACCGTAATTTATTTTCTATGCGGTTTATACCGGTAGTTAACAAAATGCCTGTAGTTTTCAAAACCGCTGGAAAATTTATATTAACTGTCGGAAATAGCTGTCAATAATTATCAATTTTCCTGTAATGCAAGGTAACACATCTAGCTTTCATGGTAATTTTCATGTATCAAATCATGTAGGCAAACCCTACATAAATTAGTATCAATCATATCAGTTTTGTATACATTAATTAGTCATATCATTCTCAATTACAAGTTAGGTGGGTTTCACCTAAGAAGTTATCACTTTTTACATATCGGCATATCATGTCATATCAATTAATCTCTTTATACCTTCTATTTCATAATTTCACTTAGGATTGCACTATTAAATCTTTTTCAAATGAAAGCGCATTGGCCACCATCATGTACAGAGTAACATGTCTCCAAATAACTTGAATCAATCAATCATTTTCAGCCAACCTTTCTTATTTTTACATATATGTCATATTATGTATATTATAATAGTATATTTCATGTGCAAATCCAATGTAATTATCATAACATATAAAATCTATCAAGTGTGCTTTTCAGTATGCATGTAGTATACCAAATATATATTATGCCAAATGGATAGTAACTTTATTTATATAATTTATTTCATGTCCAAATTTAATATATTAACTTTTAATCATTTTATACTTATTATTTCTCTATTTATTTCAAATAAAATGATATTTATACAAAAATCAATGGTTGAAATTTCATCGTAAGCCTGCCAAAATATTAAATATGATAATATTTACCAATTTAAAAAAATTACACTGCAAAATTATTAATATCATGAGAAAATGCAATTTATTCAAAATTTAGCAGAGAGAAAACAATCAACACTCAAAATCTTAAAAAAAAAAAAAGAGAGGTAGGTTTAATATTTTATATCATGATCAGAGTAACTTTCATAACTAGAGCTATAAAAATACTGGCATGAACCCTACTTTCTCTCTCCTTACGCTTTCTTCTCTCCCACCTTCTCTCATATTTTTTTATTCCTCTTCTTCCTAGCCATGGAATCAAATGGGGAATGGCTTGGGGTATTTGACAGAGTAGTTAATTATAATATTTTAAAAATAATAGTTTTTCAGACCCAATGCCATAGGGCTCGAAACTACTTTACCATAGAGCTCCACTTAATAACTTCAAACTTAGGAAAATGACACCATTGAGTATGAATTTCACAGTGGTGCATCATTGACACTTTCTATTCTATGTGATGAACTCGTTTGGATGATATGGGTGATTCTACATGCTTCAGAGGAGAATTCACCACAATCCCAATAATTAACAGACATTACTTTCCTAGGTTTACTAAGGGGCTCACCTAACAAAGTGCATACTAGGACCTCTTCACCATGTCAACAACATGACACCGGCCACATGCTAGGACGGTTTATTTAGCCCCTGATAGTTTAAAATAGGTGCCAGTAATTTTTGGTGATCAACCGGCGACTTGGACACTGGTTATAATGACAATTTTTACAGCCGGTATGCCACCGATAATTATTTGGCGGTCACCAGCATTTTAACTGTCAGAATTTATCAGATATTATGGTCGCCAAAAAGCTGATGGAAAATGGCTACTGCAATTACCCGGTTTATACAAGCGGTTCACGAACCGTCGCAAAACCGCCGATAATTTTTAAAATCACTGGAAAAGTCATCTAAACAGCTAAAAAGTGCCGCTGGTAATAGGTGATTTTCATGTAGTGACCATAGTAGTCACTGGCTCTCTCTAGAATGACTACACCTTCATCTAAACTCGGGTATAGGAAGGCACCTATTTGAAGATCCTTTGGCTCACCCTATCATGATTGGTTGACCATTGAGCCCTCCTTGTACACCATCATAGGTCACTCAACCACTCACCTAGAAAATTCAAGGCTTACCCCATGTTTCGAGCAGATTCCAAAACATCTAAGCACCTCCTCTTCAAAACTTGATCACACGCCTTCCCCACCCTCACTCGACACTTCCAAGCTCACCCCGATTACGGATTGCCAATCAGCAGGTGACACGAATCTAGGGTAGAATGTAGCATTATATGGGTGATCTATGTAGTATTATATGTATTCTCTTCAATATCTATTCTCACAGGTCCTAGCTCAACAAAAGTCATATTGCTAGTAAGGTCTGGCATCTTCCATAGAAATTCTGATCCAATAGCATCCATCAAAAACAAAACAAATAACTAATTTTCTTATATGTTACCTCCTAATCCACACCATTAATGCATGTTTAAACTCTACGCTCTTTAAGTTATTGTCAACCTTTAGATATTTCTCAACAAGCCTTATGCTTGTGGCCATTTTCTCAAACTTATTAATGAGAATGTCACCAAATCCCTATTCAATAATAATAGAAAAATAGGAAATATTTAAACTTAGGCCTCTAATATTGAACACAATATAGTAGTTATCATTCTGTTCATCGTTATAACTCTTAAGAAGAATCCCACAGAGCTAAAGGTTAGCCTATTAGGAGCATTGAAGTATTAAAGAACTATCAGAAGGGGATTACTTTGTCCTCTTAAACAAACTTTCCAAAAATTATTACTTTGTCCATTACACCCACAACTTTCTATGTTACTATCAATATAAAATCTCTCCACAAAAATAATTAGTTTACACAATCAGATAAATAAAAAAGCAAATCAAATGAACTAATTTCTTTAAAAAGTAATTATGATAAAAAAAATGTTTGATCCTCTATCTATCATAAACTTAGGTCAAATCAAAATTTCTATCTCTATAATGATACAAATATTTAAGTACTAATGTATGAGGCTCGAGTAATTATGAAAAAGTAATTAATGCATATTTAAACTCTACGCTCTTTAAGTTTGAACTAGATTCAAACACATTAAATTGCGTTCAATTCTAGTTTGAAATCATATTAAATTGGGTTCTAACAATATTCAAACCAAGCTCAAAGTGGAGTTTTAGTTAAAAAAATTTAATTTATGTATTAAAACTTTGTTTTAAAAAACAATAAAAAATACATAAATTATTAATAACATATTAGTCTAGCCCATACACACACAGGCTACATAATTAAATTTTCGTAAATTTGTTAGAGGTTTCAAATGGGTATTCCGGTCGGGTTCTGGCCGAATACGAAATTAACCTAAGGTCAATTCAACTGACCCAAATCTTACTAGTCTTACAAATAGATCAAAAATTTAGACCCGGACAATGCCCGCTAACCCGCTAGTGTGAGAGCACGTGATGCGAGTCTCGAGCGTTAACGCGAGTTGCGTGACCGTGGGCAAAGATGGCCTGGCGAGACCACACAAGTGTGTTGGTGTGAGCAGGCTAGCACGCAGGTGTGGAGAGAATGCGATAGTGCGGGGCTGCATGAGCAGGCACGGGCGAGCCTAGGCGGCCTGGCGGGACAACGTGAGGGTGCGTTGTGGCAAGGGTGACCTGACAGGACTGTACGGAGCGCAACCGCACGGGTGCGCTATGCGTGATTTAAGAAGTCAAATAGGACTCGAGACAAATTAAGATTAGCAGGTTGATTGGGACCAAACCCAATTTTTCAAAGGGGCCAAAAGTTGAAACCCGAATCCAACCATTGTGATAAACAGGTTGATCCAAATCCAAATTTTCCTAAATATTTGATCTAAATCCAAAATTTTTTATTCGAGTCCGATTTGAGTTATTAGGCCCGGTCAATAATTCATACCCTAAAAATTGTGTACTTCGACTACTAAATTTTGAAAAAAACAAATGGAAAAAAAAAATTGAAAAAAAAAAACGAAGAGTTATTTTGTCCTCTGTTGCGAGAACTCTACCCATTACTCCTTCCTTAAGAGAAGGTACGATTTTTCTCCCAACCCTTTCCTCCTCGACAACGACAAACCCATCGCATCACAGAAACACCCCTCCAATAAGACCGAATAGAAAAAAAATCCGAATTCTGAGCATAGAAGCAAAAGTAATTCCTTAAAAATACAAAATCCAGAAAGATTGCATCTTTCAATCCATCCCAGACGATGCAGGGCACGACATCTGCCTCAGCCACGGCGACGAAGTCGCCATTCTCAGATCCAGAGCAGAACTTACAGTGTCCTCGCTGCGAATCAACGAACACCAAATTCTGCTACTTCAACAACTACAACCTCTCCCAGCCTCGCCACTTCTGCAAAGACTGCCGCCGCTACTGGACCAGAGGCGGTGCTCTCCGCAACGTACCCGTCGGCGGCGGCACTCGCAAGAACTCCAAACGGTCTTCCGCCACCTCCGCTGTTGCTGCCACGAGCGCCGTCAATCCCAAGCGTCCCTTGCCCTCCTCCTCCACCGGCGAGGCTCAAAGGTCAGAGCTTTTGCCCGCTCCCTTTACACCGGTAGATGACGATCACCGAATGCTCGATATCACTGGTAGTTTTAGCTCGCTTCTCTCTTCCACTAACCATTTGGGAAATTTTCTCGACGGCGAGGCGGCAACGCCAGCGCTGGCGGAAAGTTTCCTTGGCCTGCCGGTGGACTCGAGTAGCTGGGGGTGGCCGGATCTAACCATTTATACGCCAGATACGAGGTTTGAGTGAGAGGAAGGAGTGAAGCGTGTAAGTTATAATTTGCTCTCTCATTACAGTCGTTGATCTCTTGTTTTGGTGACGAATTCGGGGCTTGATGGTAGTATTTGGATTATGAGCTTTTAATATTGTGATTTGTGTTATATATTAATTTTCTTTTCAAAATCTTATCTTTGACTGTCTTTGAGGGAATGCTTTTCTTGCCTTTGGCTTGGCTTCTCTGCTTTCTCCATCGTGAATTTTTTTTTTCTTTAAAATGAGATTTCTTCATAGTAATCTTTGAAAAGTTTTGCGCATTGAGAAGAAGGGAAAAAAAAAACAAAAAACAAAGCTATCATATAAAGATTTCACCTTTAGGCTATGAACAAAGTCTGCTCTCTGTTTGCTTCACAACGAAAGTTTTTAAATTTGTTTAAAAGATTTTTGGTAAGAAAAGTTCATAACAGTAACAATTTGTTGGGGAGTTTTGCAAATAAATTAAAAACATGTGGTAATGTAAAAATGCCTATTTTCATAATGAACAGTGTACTTAGCAAATTAAATTACTACGCAGAATGGTACGTTGGACTTATCATCAAAGATTACTGATCGAAATTTTCGTATTGAGTATTTTTAATGATTTTGTTACTAAAGTATTTTATGAAGATTTTCTTACAATGTTTTCGAAATATGATAGAACGTTTTTCGAACATATTTTGAAAAAATTTATATATTTTTTTTATTTGAGACGAAAATGCTAAAAAAGTTATTTAAAATGAATTATATTATTTATGTTGAAGTAAATTTTGAACTACTAAGGAAAGATTGCAAAATAGGAATTTTTTTATATTAAAATGTGAATTATTATGTCCGGTTATTGGACCGTCCGGACACCATCTAGATGCGTCACGTCAATAGGATACACTGGGCTCCAGGTGTATTTGAGTGACGTTGCGCGTCCGAATTAGTGTTCGGATGAATCCGGGCACCGGATGAATCCGGACACCTATGTAATAATTAATTTTCCCAGAAGAAGAGATATAGATATAATAAGAAATTTGAGAAAAGCTTTTTTGATAATGCCAAGTTTATATTTATTTATTTTTATTTATATTCTTTAATTATTTTTTATATATATATATATATATATATATATTGATTATGATTTTTTTTCTCTATTTTGTCACATATTTTATCTAAGAATATTGTTAAAAAAAATATAAATATAAAAAATTCTATTATATAAAATCTTACTTTTATTATATTCTTAAGAGAAAAAAACATTAATTTTCATTATAAAAATACTAAGAATTAACTGCAAAAAATAATTTGAGAGAGAGAGATAATTACCCAACACAACTTCGTGCGAGAGGGGTGCTTCACTCATCATCAAAGTGCATCAGTGCTGACGTGTCAACCTAATTGTTGTCCGTTGGGGCCCACATCCGTTCTCATGACCATCATTTGGTAGCCGACAGTTGGGTAGTTAGCAGTAGTTAGCTATCATAATATATCATAATATCCTATCTTAATTAGCATAGCATCCGTTTGTTTTCACGCCGAGCAAATAGTTATTTGGGCTGTTTGGTCTGTAATTAGTTCACTAATCACATGAATTGTTTATCATTGCCATGTGGAGGAAATAATTAAACTCTTGGCATTAAACATATTCACTACCTTAAATAGATTAGAATTAGATATAGGGATTTTCTTTTGGGCGGTCGCAACATTTTTGTAAAAATGATTATGAAGCTGTTGTAAGAAAAATAAGTTTTTTGAAAGTTGATGTGGATATTATAAATATATTTTTTAAAAAAGTTAAAAATAAGTACTTTTTTTAAACAAAAATTTTATTTCAACTAAAAAAAGGATTACAACAAGCTTAAAAATAGGACAAAAAAAAAAAGCTACAGAGATACAAAAAATAGGGGGGTAACAACCCATCGGGTTCAGTATTTGATAGAGGCTTCCAACTACTCCGAAGCCAGGCTCGGGCCATCCAGTTTGGAGTGAGAGCAGAAACACACCAAGTAGCCATCTGAAACAAGCAAGAAAGGCACCACCAAAGGTTGCCACGAGCCATGGCTTAAGACAAGTGAGCCATAGCCACATCATTGCCCACAACCTATAGATCGCATCCTCAAATATGAAACAAATCTCCAGCAAAACGGCAACCACCATAAGTAAATAATAAATCAAAGTGCCTTCTAACCGATGCAACCCACAGCCACAGCCACCACCACTATGAGGGAAATCGAAGAGAGACCTAAAACCCACCACCACTATGAAACCAAGTAGCATAGAGAAGAGCCAAAGCCAACCAAAATCAGCACCACATTCCCAAAATTATTTTCTACCACGTCCACCCCTCCGATGAGAGGAGACAAAAAATAACAGGTCAGTCATGCTGCAAGGCTAAATCATCCCCACTAGCCTCCGAAGAGGAATCAGACGAACATTGAAGCCAATCAATTTGCAGTCTCATACTCTACCCCAAATTAACACCCACATGGAAAACAAAGCCTCAGGTGATATTAAATTAACAGGAACCTCAACAAAAGGGCCAGAAACTAAAATAGTAGGCGTCTAAGGGGAAGAAACATTAGGAGCAACCAAACGAGCCGAGACCTCACCGGCAGAGAAAACAGACGAGTTACTCTTAGTAGGAGAAACAGAGGAATCGGATTTCTCAGCAAGCACATAAGGAACCTCCGCCGAAACTAAGCCACACAGGACAGGCACAGAAGTAGCACACGACATAATAGGATGCAGGTTAACATCATAACTCCCACCCCGAGCCTCACTAACAAATAAATGCTATGCATGGATGGCCAGAACAAACCCATCCACCATAGAATCCGAAAGCACAACATTAGGCACACAATCAACCAGAGGGACGTAAGGGGGAGCACATGGCTAGACACAACCTGACCACAGACCTGCAAAGCAAAGGGTGTAGAAACATCAACAGGATCCGGACCCACACCCAGAGAAGTAGGATTAGCATAATCATTCAAAATGCCCTCACACCCTCACAGCCTCACACCCTCACCCATGATGTCCACAATAATAGCTTCATGACTAACAATAATAACTGGTTTTGAAGAGGAAATAAGCTTGGGAGTCATGGAAGATGAACGACAGTCACCCCGCTTGTGCCCAATGGATTTACAGAAATCACAAAATGGGGGAAAGACTTCCATTTGCACCTGCTGAACATAGCCCAAATTCTCGGAACCCAGCCAAACCTTCTTAGGATAACTTTTCGTAATATCCAATTCAACCAAAACACGCGCCAGAGAAGGACACGAGCCAAGAGACGTGGCGGAGTCAATTTTTAAAGGGCGACCAAATAAAGATCCCAAAGCATGGAGGATCTTGGGAGCGAAAAGGTGAGGCCGAAGAGACGGGAAAGAAACCCAGATGGGAATAACCGGAGATTCCACTCCAATGTCAAGGCCAGGCGACCACTTAGTAATTTTCATATAGCAATTGTAAACTAAGTATGAATAGTTGCAAAAAAGCTCTACTGTAATCAATATCATTCGCAAGTTTAATCAGGATATGAGACAAATCAAATAAAGTTATCGAAACCTCTGTCGAAAGCTTAAAATTATAGAAAAAATGCTGGATAGCATCTAAAATAGGGCGACGGGAAGGAAAAAAATCTAACCAGAGCAAACTGGAAAGGAGTGGCTAAAAAGGAAATCTCTTCCTCTGAAATCCAAACAGCAGGCAATCCACGGAAAGAACACATTTTGAGAGGCATAAAAATAGCATCCGACGATTGCCCAGATAAATCATCCAAAAACGAACATGTCTTTCTAGATCCATCTAAAAAATCATGATCTAAGAGCCGATGCGAGGCCATGCCGGCCATCGGGAAAAAAGACAAAGGAACAACAAAATAAAAGGCAAAAGAGAAGAAAACTTCCCTGAACCTAGAGCGACGCCACCAGTCGAAAGACAAAAAGCATCCAGCCGAAAAAAACCCAGCGAAGTGGGGCGAAGCGCACGCGCCGGAGGAACCCTAGTAGGAGGAAACCTAGCTGATGGAAACTTTAAATGAACTTTAATAAACTATATTTTAAAAATTATTTTTTGAGGCTTCATTTGAGACAACTTTCTTACTGCTTCTTAACACAACTTTTAGTATAAAATTAAAATTTTTGTATTAAAAAGCAACTTTAAAAAATAGTAAGAAAGCCGTCCCAAACGAAGCCTAAAACTACCACACATTAGGAAGGCTTTGTTTAGAATAGTCATTCAATTGCTTTCATGATAAAAAATAGTTAATAAAAAATAATGTGTATTTGAAAGACTATATTATTATTATTATTATTTTAAACTTTTGGCTTTACAAAATTATGATTGAAAAATAGTTTTGAAAATTTGGCTGAAAAAATAGCTTTTCACAAAATATATATATATATTATCTAGAACAAATCTTAAATTTAGTTGTAATAATAGTTTCTTACAAAAGAAATTTTCTAGAAAGTAGCAATATATCAATACACAAATGAATACTTATGATTTGAAAAGTAGAGTGGAGAGAAATCTATCATAACAGGAATTAAGGCTTTACTTAGGCTTCGTTTGGGATGACTTTTTTACTGATTCTTGAAACACATTCCTAATACAAAAATTTAATTTTTATATTAAAAAGCTGCCTCAAGAAGTAGTATAAAAGCCATCTCAAACGAAGCCTAGGATAATAGTCTTACTTTTTATAAAGTAGCTATAGAGAAAGCAATTTTTTAAAACTGTTGTACAAACAAATTTTTACTTTTTTTAAGTCAGATGAAAAATAATGGTAAATTAGAAATTGTGATTGCGGTTCGAAAAGCAAATTAATGAGAAAGCTGTCACAAACAAAGCCTAAGGTTAAATGTAAAAAGTATTTGCCCATCATAAAAATTCTTAAAAACAACATTAAGGTAACAAGAAAGTAATAGCTAAATAAAATTATGATTGTGATCTAAAAAATAAAAAAAATGAGAAAAGTATCCCAACCAGACCTTTACTCGAATAAAATTATCCCACGGTAGGTTTTGGAGCAATGATTAATTATCATAACTATCATTAATGGCTCACGTGTTAAAGCCATCACAATAATCCCTTTGCTAATATAAGATTTATATATTTGCATTAATATTCTCTCAGAACATACAAAAGTTCAGCTCCATTTAATTTGGTTAAATAAATTTAGTTAT